GGGGGGGGGAGGGATTGAGAGGGCCTTGGCAACAGAGCCCTAGCCCCTATACCTTCCCTTCCTCCTCACGTCGCCCAATGGTTTTGCTCTTCAATCTCTCCTCAACCCAAGAGCCTCTTCACGGGATATAACCTAATGGCCTCTTGGACCTTTATCAAAATACCAATTCTCCTGAATGTTTACCATACAATTGTGAGAATTAGGTGATTATATGATCCCTACTTGTCTTCAAACATTCCCAACGCATCAGTTGAAGGAATGTGTTCGAATATCAACACCATCTTTGGTGATCTATTCCTTAATTCTCAAGTTCAGTACACTATTGACTACAAATAATGTAAAGAGAAAATACATGTCGATCACCCGAGGTTCAGGTATAATATAGGCTTTAGCTTACAACGCCTATTTATGATCTGGCAATGAAGTTAATTTAACTGTGTATTTGAAAGGCTGTTTTGTTTTATTTCGTTTCTTTTTTTTTCCAAAGAAAAAGTGGAGATGATTTTCTTCAAGCTTTTACCCCGGCACCAACCACATTTTAGTTATCCCTACCTCTTAAAATCCTAGGAAAAAATAAATGAGGCGCAAAGGGGAGTTGGTGCCCCAGGCATCTCACTTGTTCTTTGCCATCTAATTTAAACCAGGTTTTACTGCGACAACCTAACTACGAGACTACAAATGTACAAAAAGATAAACGAGGCTTAAAGTGGGGTTGGTGCAACAGGCACCTTTCTTTTTGCTGGCCATCTATTCAAACCACGTCTTACTAAGACAACTTTACTGTGAGACTACAAAAGAACATCCCAATCACCTCCTTGCTAAAAGGAATCAGGGTGCAAAGAAAATTAGCTATAACTAGAATGTACCAGCTTGACAGTCATTTTCACTAGTGACCTAAACGCCACTCCCCACAAAAAAAAAAACAATTAAAACCACAGTTTGATCTGTTACAGTCCTTCTGTTATTTGAATTTTCTCAAATTTCACCCAAGAAAACTTTACTTGCCTATCGGCAAGGGAAGGAGAGAATCTATCAGCCAGACCACAAAATCTACGAGCTGTGATTTTCTTTGCACGCTGGTAATATTACTAAACTGCAGGATGGTGCTGTGGAGGTTTTTAAAATCATTGAGTTAATCTGTTAACTTAATTTAATCTCATGACAAAGCTAATCCTTGTAGTGATGGATAGCTCAATTGACCAATCAAACTCTAAGCAAAATATTTTAACCTGACAAAGCATCGCAGACGTCACGTGATCCACATGACAATTGCGTCACCCTTTTGATTGGTTAAACTACACTGCACGAGCCTTTTGACCATTACAAGACCTAAGTTAAAGCAATATTGAGGTGGAAACATTTGATGTCACTGGAATTTACGCTTTTAACTATTCCCCGTGAGCTGCTCCACAAAGGAATTAGCCTGCGTAGCAAGCGTTTCCGTGGGATTTGGAAGCAAAGAAAGACCGAGCAACGGGATTTTCGGTCTTTTGTCTGCGCGGAAAATGGGGCGAGAGCCAAAAAAAAAGAAAGAGGGGGGTGGGAGAGGGGAAGGAAGGAATGGCTTTCCTTCCTTCCTTCCCCTCCCCCTCCCCCCTCTTTTACTCGCTCCATTTTTCGCGCTGTAAGTCTTCGCTCCCGAACCCCACAGAAACGCTTGCAATGCAGGCTACAAAGGAATCGTTTTACCTCTTTAGTTCTAAGTTCATTATAGTGACAGTAAGGTTGTCACCGCATTGCAGTAGTTGATTTTCCAAGGATCTGTTTGTTTTTCATCTACAGTTGTAGATCTATAAAGGAAGGCTCCTTGGCTAAAACTATCACGGTGTCGCGGACTGAGAACACCAGATGCCACCAGTGTGTGGATGACTGTATGTTACTCCATCTACTGGTTGGTTTCATTCCTGTTTGAGGCCTCTTTGTCAAGGAACCGCCTGAAAGAAGAAATTCGAATCCATTAATCATTTACTAATACTTTCACAAGTCTGCTTAATCTCAACAATAAAAGGAATAAGAAGGCTCAGAGACAACAGAGAGGTTAAGCATGACGTTAACGGCAGACCGCAAACGGCAAAGACAACTTCTGATTTTGAGTTCTTTTCTTCTAATCCGTAAATAAAGCTCACAAAAATGGAATAACGTCTCCTACTATTCATTGCAAATACAAATAACTTCACTCTACTGTATACACAGCTGAGGAGAGACGGCAAAAGTTTCATTTTTGCCGTTTGCCGTAAACGTCATGCTTAACCTCTCTAATGTTTGCGCTCGACGCCAGTTTCAAGGAAATTAACAGTATTTCTACTTCAAACTGGATCCTGGGAATGCGAGTCCACCAAAGGTCCCCACCCCCACCACCCTGGCATTTTCTTCAAGTTACCAATAAATGCTCCTACAAAAAAGGGCGCTGTAAGAGTAAAATGCCTTGACAAATTTCTGCTAAAATACTCATAAATACTTGATGTGACTTTAAAAAAAAACTTCAACATGTTTTCTAACCACCGACTTATAATTTACATACAGTAGTTTCTGTGTCTGAACCACTAGTCACAATTCTGTGCTTTAAAACTCTCCCCTAGGGCTAAAATAGGCTTTGTTACCAGCCACGGATGGGAACAAGGGCCTGCACTACTCTACACTGTGATCAGGTGTAATTTTTTTGGCAATACAAGAAGGGAGGGTATGATGGCAGGTTAGACCTCCTCCTCCACTCCCAGCAAAGAATGAGATATTTGAAAGAGCAGCAGAAACCGAGCCTAGGGCTGCTATTAACACCCTTCCTTTGTAATCTCAAAGTGATGGACCTACTTTCTCGCTTGCTGTAGCATTGTCTCTTTTCTTGTTGACAGGACAGATTGCCTGACAGCAGGTTGCAAAGAAAACTCCACTGATGATGATGAAGGACCAGGGAGATATCTGTCTCCCGCTGCAGTTGCTTTTCCAGGTGAAGGGCGTTCTTCTCGCTCCTCCAATGGAGCAGCTTCCTCTTGTTGCGGTTCCCACATCTCCAGCTCATCTTCAAATATCTCTTCCGTAATGGAAGGACTTCCTTGTTCTTCCTCAGTTGATAGGTTCTCAATCTCATCATATGCACTTGATGCAGTCATTGAATCTGAAAAGAAGTTATTATGATGTCAAGTTGAATTCAGGCCAATGAAGTTTAGCAAAATCTTACCAGAAACCTCTCAGGAAGAGAAGAGAGAGAGAGGCAAATGACACTCTCCTTTCTTTCTCCTGTATCCATGATACAGTACACAAGATTGCAATGTTGCTAAGATCCCCTCTAAACATCACCCAAGCCCCTATCTCCCTGATTTTGCTTCATACCGAGTTGAGATAAATTATGTGCCTTTCTTTGCATTCTGCTGGGTTCAGAAAAACAAACTCCTCTTGGACACTTACTTGGCTGTGCTATCTGTAGGAGTTCAGAATCCTCAGGAATTAACTGATCTTCAGGAGGCGTCCACACCTACATTGTAAACAGAGAAAACAATGGGGGTTCTTCAACATTCAAGGAAAACATATGATTATTTTAATCAACGTTTCAACCTTTTTTTTGCAAAATCCACTCTCTGTGCCAGTCATGATTCTGACAATCAAAATGACTTACCATTATAGCTTAAACCTTGCATTAAAGGTTAGCACAACCTCACTAGTGCATACTAGTACTAGTTACACCCACTTTCAGTGTTACACGCATAGGCGGCATCTTTCGACATGTCATCTTTGACATGCTATGTAACCTGGCCTACATCAAAAATGTAAGCACAATGAACTTCTTTACAGTCAAACTCAAATTTTAGTGATGAAAAGATGGATTTATTTGACATCAGACTAACGTTACGAGTATCAAGAAGTCATTCCAGGAGAAATAAATCAACTGTTTTGAATGTTTACACATTGTTAATATTGAAAGCAGTAGTGGCCCAATTCTATCAGAAGTCACTATTGAGAGCTGTTCAACTACACTAAAATGGTTTGAATAATCCCGTAAGTTGGGAAACATACAAAGTCCACAATCTTCTTCAGCCATTTGAGGTCAGCACATGTACATGTAGTTACCATTTATTTGTCATTTC